ATTGAAAACTTTCTCCTTTTCTTACCATATTCTTTGTGTATCGATCTGAGCAAGTTCTGACCCCTGTGAACTGCAAAATCTTTTACTGGCTGTCCAATTTCTGGTATCAGAAAAATAGAAACACTTCTTTCCTACTCCAATCCAGTCTTCTGAACATGACATAGTTTTAGAACATTTTGAGGGTCTTTACTGGAAAAAAAAAAAAGAAAAAATCAAATTTAGAAATAAAGTTAAAATGTGCTTTTCATTTTGGTGAATCAATTTTACTTTTCACTTCCATGGTTTGAAGCCTGTAAAGTTAGCTTCACTCATAAGATGACCATGAATTCAACTCCCCTGTCTGTTAGAAAGACCATTTGGTGGTCAAGCAGTCTGTACTTTATCCTGTTTTCCTGGCTTCTATTTTGGAAAATAAAACCACAAGCCCATCATGGTCTATATTCATATCTTACAAAAACACTGCATAAAATTTAGCTATGAATTCTACAGTCAAGGTAGAGTGCTAGAGACCTGAATTTAATTTAGGTGTGAAGGACTAGGGTAAGAAATAGAAGCTTATTTTGATCTTCAAGAAATAAAAAGTTTGTAGAAAAAGAGGACACCCAAGCTAGAAAAGCTAAACTCACTATAATGGACAACAAATAATTGGAATATAAGAGTTATCAAAATATTTGTTTCATTTCACTAATATCCAATGCTGAAGAAGCTGGAATAATGATCAGTTAATCTCCAAGTACACTGTTTGGAGATTTTCTGTTTCCAGGTTTTAGTTAATTGCTTAGTAACAATAATAATAATTTAAAGTCCCTGCCCTCCAAACATTTGAATAAGTTAGAAATTGAATAACCTGGAAAGAGCTAAGTAAATTTTCAAATGTAGGGCAAACTTAAAAGCTTGTACTCTCCACTCTGCCATGACTTATTTATATTTGTAATGGTTACAAGTGGATGCAAGCTACTACAGATGTGTGATGACATGCAAGTGTTTCAACTCTATCTTTTTTAATCAACAAATGAGTGAATGTAAAGACTTCTTATAGAAACTTTTGTCTATAAATGTTTAACTTGCAGATGTTTAAACACCAGTAACATTGAGCTCTCAGAACTCTACGGTTACAGAAGAGGCTGTAAGAAAGAGGAATGTCAAGACTCTGGGGAATAACAAAAAACAAAACAAAAAAAAAAACAAGAATCAGGAGTGCTAAGCTCCAGCTTAGCCAAACTGAAGTGCTAAACAAGCAAAGTATGCATATGACAAATCAAGTTCTAAGGACTATGAGGCCATGTGTCAAGAAATAAATTCTACCTTAGGATTCTTTCCACAAAATGAACCCATAATACCCATAAGAAAATTAACATCTTTATTTTTACAAATCTTGCAACTCCAACTGAAAAAGTCTTTTAACAGTTCGTTTGTGCCATTATTTTTTTTCCTTTTAACATAATGTGATAATTCAGAATATGATCCCCCAAATATGCCACTCTGGCATATTGACTATTTTGAGTTAAAGACATTGAGAAACAGAAGATGCATAACTCTGTACCCCATAAATGTGTATAATCAATATGTTTCAAAACAAAATTTGTTTTAAAGAAAAGAAAGACAGCAGATACAAGAAAAAACAGGTTCTGATTCATTGAGTTCTCAGGGGATGCTAATGCTGCTGGACCATGGACCACACTCTGAGAAACATGTTTGAGGGTACATTGTGGGCATGTGCAGTGTAGGCGTGGGAATGGGGGTAGGGAGGCACCAGCTTGAGCCCAAACCATGGGATTCAGATTTTTAAGAACATTCCTCACACCTAGTAGGGTAATCCTGTCCGGAACCCATTTACATGAAGGGTTGAGGATAACACATCTTAAAGAGAGAGGGAGCTAGGCAGACTGGCCTGGTCCCAAAACAAAGGCTTCTGTTGAAACAAAGTTGATTGACTGTGGCCAGATTTCTGTCACTCAGGTTTGCATCCCAGCCCAGCACCCAGGACTCAGGCTTGAGTGTATGAGAGGCAAGTAAGTCAAACCACAAAATCTGAGAGCTCTCTTGTCTCTAAAAATTGTATGAGACACTGTGGGATAAAGCCAAAGTGTTTAACCCCTCACCCACTCTGAATTTCCTTCTTTTTCTTATAAGCACGAAAAAAAAATCTACATGAAAGATATCCTCCCTATACTAGAAGGAAGTAACATGCTTATCATTAAGCATGGGTGAAAAAATGCTCAGCATCACTAACTCATCAGGGAAATGCAAATCAAAACCACTTTGAGATATTACCTCACCCCAGTCAGACTGGTTATTATAAAAAAGACAGAGAATAACAAATGCTGGTGAGGATGTGGAGAAAGAGGAATCCTTTTTCACTGTTGGTGGAACTGTATATTAGTACAGCCATTATGGAGAACAGTATAGAAGTTCCTCAAACAACAACAGATAGAACTACCATATGATGCAGTAATCCCACTACTGGGAATTTATCCAGAGGACTGGAAATCATCAGGTCGAAAGTATACCTGCACCCCCATGTTTATTTATTGCAGCTTTATTTACAATAGCCAGACAATGGAACCAATCTAAATGTCCATAGATGGACAACTGGATAAGGAAACTACTTTCACATATTGTCATACAGTATTAGCTATTATCATTTTTATTCTCTCTTTGTACAATCTAAACCTTTGAAATGATTGAAAACTTTCTCCTTTTCTTACCATATTCTTTGTGTATCGATCTGAGCAAGTTCTGACCCCTGTGAACTGCAAAATCTTTTACTGGCTGTCCAATTTCTGGTATCAGAAAAATAGAAACACTTCTTTCCTACTCCAATCCAGTCTTCTGAACATGACATAGTTTTAGAACATTTTGAGGGTCTTTACTGGAAAAAAAAAAAAAGAAAAAATCAAATTTAGAAATAAAGTTAAAATGTGCTTCTTTTCATTTTGGTGAATCAATTTTACTTTT